ATAACTGACTACTGAGTGAAAAAAATTAATCAGTAGTAAATAGGTTTGTACTATAAGGCTACCACAGCATTCCTATGTACATAACCAGACAAACAAACATACAAATACATAAGAGAAAACGAGAGACGGTTTTAAAAAAATAACGATCGAAATGGAAATCACAACTATTGCGTTTTTCTAAATAGCGTTTTGGTGTGAATGGTTATACAAAATACTAGAACATTGACAGACGGCGGTAAAAAGACACTCGATTGTTAATAATAATAATAATAATATATATATATATATATATATATATATATATATATATATATATAATAAAGTCATGAACAACCTATGTTAATTTAATCAGACAACACACATACATGTTACTTTCACATGTATGTATGATAAGCAAACGAGGAAAATGTAGTACGTCGAATAAAAAAACGTCGGCAGGTTCACACTACCACATTTGTTACAACATAGCACAGCGCCATACATGACACGATCTCCTCAACATAACATTAATATACATCTATGGAACTATTTTTTTTAGACTTTTAACTCAGTTATATTCACCTGACAACGAACAATAAAGAAAAACCATGAAATTTATTATTAATTCTCATTGAAAATTCTCTTTTTTAAGTGCATATATACAGTCCCTGAAGTGGGGTCAAGACATTTTGGTTTAGAGAAGTAATTTACATACTAACAGATAGGAGATCTAATAAATTCAGTGACAAAATATCGATGAAAGTTTACCAGCTATGAAATTGATGAATACGAATTTATGCTAAAAGTAACTAATGCAACATAGCACCGAACAAACTGAATAAAAAACAGTAGTTCAAACACTAAAATATAGCAAAGCTCAGCTTTATTCAGTCGAGTATTGAATAGGATGAAGCGGAAGATGTTAGAATTACACGAAAGCGGCAACATATAATATAAAGAAATGGTAGATGCATCGACTACACTTCCTTGGAATTCTTAAGTAATTTATCGTTTTTCGGCATACAAACATTTCTTTGTCATCAGTAATGTTATTTTCATAGTGAACTATTTTATTGGATTTAGTTTTTCCCCTAAATTTAGCGCAAAATACATTCGACATATATATTTAAACGATTATTTTTGTAGCATTAGTATACCAAATATGCATCTATACTAAAAGACAGTTTGAATACAAAAAATAACATTAAAACTTCCTTATATAGTGAAAGCATATATTCATCAATGAGAAACCTCTTTACATTAGACAATACAAATCGAAAAACCTGATTCAACTGAATCCTACTCTACATTATATGATTCCTGTTGGTCTTTGGAGGTCAATACACATTAACGATATATACTACCTAGCATAAAGTTAACTTTTATTTGTCGCTTTTCCAAATGACTATCAAAGAAGTCAATAAAAAAGTATAATTTCTTGCATCCGTCGTTGAGCTTAAGTTTTTTGTATATAGACTAATGATACTACCGGACTGTTCGTGCTCAACAGGAAAGTTAGCCAATACTGATTCACAATTTTGAAAAGGTGAATTTAGTCCAGAGTAAGGTTATAAACAATGAACAAAGGAAATGATTAAAAAGGAACTGAAACTACTAAGCAAATTGAATTTATATAAAAGTAAATAAAAATATTGCCAAGAATGTCAGTTATAATCTAATACTTAGTACTAGAACTAAGGTCCTTCGCATTATTACTGATGAATGCCTTGTTTTCTATACAAATTCTAGTGTAGGCTTATAAAAACCTGCAATATTAATTAGTGGTATTGTAGTGCATAACACTTATGTTGACAGGTATAAGTAGTATGCAACACCAATCAGAAGTGGAATTCCTGATAGCAGAAGAATGAAAAGATCGAATTGAAGTCAACAGGAATGTAAATAGAGAAAAATCCTAATGAAAACAGGAATTAAGGAATGATGAAATTTGTAGGATACAAGTGATGCAAGATATGCAAATAATGTATTTAATACATGGTTTTCATATTTTACAAAGACACTGTAATTTGCATTAAACAATAAATTGGTTTTCCCCACTAGACTCCTTTGTTCACAACAGTATGATTACAAGTCTTCGTAGATATATACTCACTATATCCTAATTGAATAACATGAAGACATAACACTATCTTTTGTCATGGCAAACCTATAATTCAGTGTTTTGAATTTCAGCATTCATATTACTAGTACTACTACAAACAAATAAGTTAAATATGACTTTCCTATCATACTTAGACCTAGTAATAAAAATCTTGTCAACAAGAAACAATCATGTTTACGCATATATATATATATATATATATATATATATATATATATATATATATATATATATATAGAGAGAGAGAGAGAGAGAGAGAGAGAGTTAATAAACATACTAGCGTTGGAAACAAGGAAACTTCCGAATTATGTGAATAACATCGAACAATATTCAAAACGATTTTGATATGTGGTCGACAGTCACTAGAATACGTAGAAAACTGATAACTAAGTTTAATAATGATAATAATAAACATGAGGAAAAAATAAACCCATCTACATATAGAAATACCCCTTACTTTAAACGAACAAAAATATGAAGAACGAGACGGAGAAACAGACAAACCGTCATCACATAAACAGTATCAAACAAAAACAAGCTACGTAACTAATAAGAGGAGAGAAGTCAAATAAGCCAAACATAATCATGTATGAATACAAAAAAAGATACAGTAAAAAGAAAAAAACAGATATGTTCTTATCGGTAAAAGTATAACATTGACGATATTGGGTGACTTGTCAGCCACTCAGAGAACGCTGCCTAGTTATAAAAGAAGTAACGATACAAAGCACTGAAATAACAGTGGGATTAGGGTGCATACTAATTACGCTGACAGATATATGTAGTATATAGCGGCAATCGGATGTGGAATGCCTGGTAGCAGAAAAGTGAATTGAAGAGAACAGAAAGGGAAATAGAATAATTGTCATAAGAACAGAATTGAAAGAATCATGAAGCATGTAAAAGATAACTGTAGGAAGATGTGAAAATAATGCATAGTTTTCATATTTTACTAAAACTGTGTAATTTTGCATTAAACGATAAATCAGTTATCCCCACCAAGTTTTCGTGCACCATAGAATAACTGCTTTGATGGAATAATTAACTCTCATATGTCAAATTATCCCATGTAGTAAAGAAAAAGTCATGCTTGCAAATCTACATGCATATTGGGAGTTGTGCTAGTGTTGTCACCTTATGGAGTTTTCGTCACCAACTGACACCAGTTATGACGCAAAAGAGTTAGGGATAGGTACTAAAAGTCAAACTGAAGTTTTGAGTCAGGCTTAAAAATAAGGGTCGGGGTTTTCAACACGAACTGACATCAGCTATAATACAATGCTTTGCCATCTTTCTATTTACAAACTTAAGAAACTTTGGGTTGGGATTCGGAGTAAGAGTAAAAAAGGGAGAATATTATCTAGCTTTATTCAACACTCTTGGTTACGCAATGAACGAAATCAAGTACTTTACCATACAATCTGCCTTAGTACCGGGTATGTTATGTAGTTTAGTTTGAGCATAATAGATATTTTTATAGATTTCAAGCATTTCAAGAATCAAATACTGTCAAACTTCACTTAGTTAATAATAAGATATAAGTTATTCATCGCCGCACTGTACATTTCCTTCAAAATACATGAGCCGTTATCCTTATTCTGATTGCTTAAACCAATTAGTATATTACGATTTTACCGTCAAAAGAATGAAGAATATGATTCAATACTTATCGTCCATACATTATGCAATATCAACTGATGAACATTAATAATAAAAAAAGAATATAGGGAAAATGAAAAATATATACTAGAAAACAAAAAGGATATGACGTAGCTAAGAGAAGAAAGAGGTCGACATCTCTAATATTTATGTAATAATCATACACATATTTCTTAAATAGATTAAAAAACCGAAATTAATTCAGAGACAATTTGAATTATTTCTTGATATGATAAGTACAAAGAAGAGGTCTTAACTGATTAGAAATTGAGGGACTTAAAAACTAATTTTTTCCCAGGTCATTTTATCATGTTGATTTCGTGTTAATGTTTTGTATGTCATTTTACCACCTAAAAATAAACCTATTCTTCTTGCTAGTGCTTTTATATTTGATTTCAATCCAATCGGGGACTTATGTTAAAAATTCGTTCTCGTGAGCAACCAACACTATCACATCGTATTATTGAGTTTATTTATGGACACATGTTTTTCCTCATATTAACGGTCGGAAAGACTCGCTCACCAAATAATGAAAGCGTTCTCATCATAACTTATATGGTTTGGACTATTTGGTCAACAAAATTGACGTATATCAACAAAATAGTTCCAACCTTATTAATAATAATTTCTAGGAACAAGTTAAACTATTTACATACAGCAGGAAAACAACGTATTCAGAATAAAACGTACAATGAAAGACCAATCAAGCAATATAAAAAGCAGCACAAACGTGTATCAGTTCACGTTGCCATATTACAGCAGGAGGAAGATAAAATGTGAGAAAACAAAGTAGACAAAATGATAAAGCCAAAAATAGCAGAAAATTGGATATAAAAATATTTTTTTCAAGGAAACAGAATAAAAATAAGTTTCAGAGAAAGATAAAGAATAAATGAATTGTTAACATGAATACCGATTCTTAGCTGCTGAAAAATTCTAGTTAGTTAGTGGATCGGTAAAATGTTCTGAAGCTAGGTTTCTTGTTAAATGTCACTCTTCAACAAACCATACTCACGTATCTTAGTCGAAAAACCAGATCAATATCAAAGAATTACACTACTACTACTAAGTGCTCAGTCAATGTAGAACTATATTTTTAAAAAATCTCTAAGAAATCTGTTAACATAGTATCATTTGATCATTTGATAATTATTATAGGAGATAAAAAAGCGGACAGATAAATTTACAATTTGAATAACAGTATTATTATTATCATTACTAAAATACCTACATTAATTGTTCACAAATCTGAACGAGCTTCAGTGAATCGGTTGCGTACTAGAAATCTAGCCAGGCATTCCGCAACCTAAATAAAATAAAAATCATTTTATTAAAAAAACTATAAATTATGCTGAACTAATTGTTTTAATCGATTAGACAAGATATAAAACAACTAATTATACTGTCAACGAAATACAAAGATATACGGAACTAAAGCATTTCAATATGGTATATATATATATATATATATATATATATATATATATATATATATATATATATATATATGAAAAATTCGATAGAACAATACAATGGTTAAGTCTAAATTATTAGAATATATCTCCGACTGTATTTTATTAAAAAGTGAAACATAACGACTCAGACGAGACAAAAAATAAACAATTAGCTGCATTGAGATCATGAACCGACCAATGTTAGATCACCATTGAAAACCTGGAAGCACTGGACTGCGCAAGATCGTGGATTGGTTGAAGTTAGACATTAACACCACTGACCACGAGTCAGTGATAAAACAAAGTAAATATATCAGTCACGACCCAGACAGCTTATTAGTAACGTTTTAGTACAACAGGGAGTGCCAGTTCCTTTATCACTATAGGAACGTTTTGTTAACTAATGCCAGCTAGCACGAAATCTATCTCCAGAATTTCTTGTTCACCACCTCCAACTAACAAACATCAAATCATAGTACATATCATATGGAGTCCATTAGATTGTTGGTCATATTTTAACTTGATCAATGGAATTCGATCAATACTAAAGGACTACACAAACAATATTTGGCCCCTACTGAGTGATAAAACAATCTAACTTAAATATAGAATTCTAAGAACTATGACTATAGTATTCCGACTTATTTGCTCCAAGGATAAGATGTTCAACACAAATACGAATGATTGGACTATGGTTGCGTATTTCATTTCAGTGTCAAACCAAGACGAAAAACGAATCTAGTTACTTTTTCTATAAAGGCATTTCAACATCTGACATGAACAATGCTCACCAGGATGTCAAGTTGCATACTTTTTGTTGTTTTAAGTGTGCGTACAATATTTTTTTTCGAAAAAACAACCTTACTCCTATATTTAAACATTTCTAGATACATACTTTTATCTAAGGAAAGGGATACAAAAAACAACACAAATAAACAAAACGATACACATATAAGTGCATAAGTATAATCATTAACTGAATGATAAGAAATTAGAATAGAATACAAGAGTGACACTGATATAACATTCATAGATTTGGAAAGCATCTGTCAAAATGACATAATATATTTGGTTATACGAGACAAAAAGTGAACGATAGTGGATTTGTAGTTGAAAACTGAGGTAAGCTAATAAATCGACTAGTTTGGGGTGAGGTGTGATAATCCAGATAAACAGTTCACTTCACTTTCGATTTTTTACAAAAAATCTACATAATACGGATCAATGTACCTAGAGTTGTGTTACAGTCAATAATACTTTATGGTTGGCTAAACCCGTGCAACCGCAGTGTAGGTAGAATTTGTGACCATGAAATAGAAAATCAGATGTATTGACTACTAGATATACAGACACCTAATGTCACAGCACAAATGTCACCGGTCACTAGACAACAAACATAATTATGTCAACACAAAAATAGGAAAACAATGAAAAAGCTACACAACAATTGTTATATACATTCTAATACACCAACAAGCACCTAATGAGGGAGACAGAAAGAAACTATAACTTACTCTATCTGGAGTATCCTCTTGAACGGCATGACCAGCACGAGGGAACAGTTGAACCTGAAATTTACCTAAAAAAACTGCATTGTATGAATATAAATTGTATAAAGTATACTTGAGAGATGGACCAAACAGAATTGAGAATTTGACTTTGAGTACAGATCAAATATCACGTATAACAAGTATTAGAAATACATTTCTAGACTCCTCGAAATATTTAAAGTGATAGCCGAAAATAGGTTTTGTCACCACAGGGTAAAAATGATGGCGTTGAGTGAATTAAAAATTCAGTTCTTTCTCTGTAAATTGTATGCAACACACAAATCGACACTGTCTCTAAATTCTAACCTTAAACATCCAATACAGAAATAAGTCTTGAACTGGTGACACTACATTTCATGGACAAACTAGTCAGACAGTACCTTCTCTTATATTTTTGCATGAAATTCATTCACCCATATAACTATAGAACACTTTCGTGTTATGCCTGATGTCAGTTTGTGTCGAAAAACCTAACCCTAAATACTTAATCCTAACCAGGGACGATGTGTAGACTCTTAACAATCTGTTTGGATCTCTATAAGTGTTCGAGAATAAGTATAATCTACATTCGTATGAACGAGCTTTTATGTATTAGTTTTCTTTCGATTTACAGAAAGAGTAACGTACCTGTGGTAGATGTTAATAAATTCAAAAATTATATCAAATTTGTTTGCGCTTAGTTATATTATTGTTTTCTTCTCCACAAACTATCCATTTACAAAACATTTTTCTGAATGGTTGAGAACTGACGATTTATTTTTAGCTCGTTCTATAATATACTGTCTTCATACAAACCAATCAAGAGTACACAAATTGTCTAATTTTTTTGTATTCAATGACTTCAAAAACCTTTCCAGGCACAATCGAATATGTCAAATGTAGAAAAAATAACTAAAAACCTTAATGCAGATAAAAAAGTACTAAATACACATTGATAAATGATACAATGAATGAAATACTAGAATAAACAATGCTAGGTTTGTATGGTGAAATAGTTATCTTCAAATATAGGCTAGGATAATCACCTGAGTACCAATCAGGTAATAGTCAGTACCTACCTACACGGCTCGTACAACCTGAATATCAATATTGATGACAATAATACATATCAGTAACATTATGAAGTAAATATCAATGTACTTATCAATTCATTATTTATAACTCAACCACTAATAAAAATTAAGTATATGTTCAAGAAATCAAGTAGCATTTTGTCTTTATATCCTTCCGAAAAAGATATACTGCAGCATATACATATAAACTAACAGATATGACTTTAATAAAAATATGTAAACATTTGATTTCAGATATACGTTTTATACAGTGGGATTAATTTATCATACAGGATGCTGGTTATTAGTGTGGTGCTTATTCTTCGATTTGCACTGTTCACCATATCATTATTCATAAAAAAAGAGATGGTTTATGCTTATTTTAGTATTTCAGTTATAAACTTATCCATAAACTTCAGAGAATAGCTCTTTTCGTTTGAGCATCGTTTTTTAGACGACACAGAAATCTCTCATTCTGGTTTCTTTCAACTAAAATGTCTTAACTCAGAAGAACATAAACTTGTTTATCACTAAAAAAAATATTAAAACTGGAATATTAATTAGTGCGGTTGATTTTTAGAAAAAAATATTATTCATGATCCTTAGCTTTAGAAATATACAAGATACAGTCAAAAGAAATTCATGACACAAAACATAAATCTTAACATTCCTTAAACAATATGGTTCATGCGTTAACTCATCAACATACACCTAATATTTAATCAACATAAACAGAATAAATGAACGAATCGAGTAAGATGAAATGATACAAAGTGATATTAACGTTAATGTTATTAAGTATATTAATTTTATTACCTGCCCCAGCTAATCCCCAAACCTTAAGCACTAAATATGACTTGAAGCTAGAATAAGAATCTATATATCTTGTTTGTATTTTATTTTTTTTTATTTTTTTAATTGAACACATAAATATTGGTACAAAGGGACACCGAATAAATATGCGCCACACAAGTCACTTGATTTGTGTGTGGGCTGTGATACTGTCTGTACTGTATTTAAATCATAATAATCATAGACATTCACTGGTGTATTTTGCTAAAATAACGACAATAATAAGACAAAAAATTTAATACAAACCTTGCATTTGCCCAATGGTTAAATCTTTATCCAATCGATCAGCATCAGCTAACAGAAGTAATTTTGGTTCAGGTATTGATAAAAATAGTTTAGATAAACCAGAAAACCATCCTTGCCAAAATGGTTGTGTTTTAATTAAATCTATTCGCCAAGTATACTGTGGACGATCCGACTGACATGTTACCAAACCAGAATGTTTTGAAATAGTAGAAGAGTCAGTAAAAGAAGGAAGTGTACTACCACTTATTGAATGAATAGATTCTCCAATAGACTGACTGGAAAATTTAGATGAATCCACCGATACATTTTCTGTATTGTATTGTAAACTGTCAGCATCATTATGACAGCTAGGAAGCTATAAAAGTATGTTTAAGCAAAACACGATCTAAACAGAATGTGACACATAACTTAATGAACAATACGCAAAGATCTGAGAAACGTTTAATAAAATCAATCTCATAGAGTCAAGTCTTTACCAACTAAGAGTAATAATGAAATTTAAAAACCATACCATTTTTACGAACGGAATGGCATCATACCTTCTAGCTTACAAAGAAGTCTCTAAAATAAAGAACCATAATTGTGACAAAATTTCGATCAATTCCATGACATTATAGGTAGTGTCTCGGAGACATTTCCAATAAACTAATAACCCATGTAAGACTTTTATTATACGTCTATAATATAATTTAACGTATTAAATCATAGTCCTATTGCACAACAAAGATTAAATTGTACTAAAATACTTAAAATTGATATGCACCTTAGTCTCACCGATTGATCTAGGTAAAAATGTACCTAATGTAGGTAGTTTTCGTGAATATCCCTGTTTCCTGATATCTTAAAGACAATAAGTAAGATAAATAACTTATTTAGTCCAATATATTCACAATAGAATTTTAATGATTCAGACTATTTAAGGTAAATTTGCCAGTACAATATTTTGATATTAACTTGTTGATTCATTGACTTGTTTGTCTGAATTGATGGATATTAAGTACTCCATGAATCACATAAATCACAATATGTTATGTACAAAAAACCCGCTAATTAACTGAATAAAAGTATTACGGCAGAATCCTCCATTGATTATTTTAGCTTTGCATTGTGACGGAGTTGAACTATAATAGGGGCGCCCAAACCAAAACATGGCACAAGTCCATGAAGTCACTGACAAGTGAACTGAGTCATGTTGGTAGGTGTAGACTACCTGGTTGGGGACCGCGAAATGATAGCAACCGATGGTTAGAGACCCTGAATGACATCGCTCAAAATCGTTTGCAATGGCGCAGGTGCATCCACTCTCTGTGTTCTCCCAAATTCTAATCTTCTGAATTCTTCATGTCCCTTTTTTCCTCTTTCCAACTTTATTTCACTGGATTATACTTTTTGAATAACATCTCCAAACCCTAATCTTCCCGATTACTGCTTATACTCTTATTACCTCTACCACTACGGGATTTGAATCGACAACTGAATCTCTGTGCTAATGTGGTGTGGCAACTCGAACTGATGTACGTACGTACGAAGTTCTACGTTGTTACTGACTGACTGATCGATGGTATATATAAGATTATTTCTCATCAGTTTTGAAATGGTGCTTTTCCTATAACTATAAACATAAAGGTAACCTAGACCCATCCTTCATAAAGCTATTCAATCGTTACTAAGCCTAATCTCAAGCCACTGAAGGCTTCTAAACAGGAAAACCACGGATTATTTGTTCCCTATAGTATCTATTGACGAGACAATCAATTGCAGCTGTTAGAAAGATGTGAGTAGCAATGAAATAAGTTTTAACCAATTATCGAACTCGTTATATCCAACAACGAATGAACTATTCCAACACAAATGATGACAAAGAAACTCGGAATTTCAACACAAATTTTCCATTGACAACGAATAGAAGCCAAAAGTTTCTCAAGATGTACTATTTTTTCTTATCTTGCATATAATCTGTACAACAAGGGCCAGATGCTCCTGATAATTATAAGGAAAACTCCATCTTATGTATCAACTTAATTTTAACCATTGAAATCTCTATCAAAATGCTGACATCATTTGTTCTTGTTGACACAACCCTGTTAGGAGGATAGTTCCTTTGATTAGTGAATGCTTGCGTCGATATCAGGTAGGGGCACGTTGATCGGCACATTTTCAATCAATCAGCTCTAGCGAGTGCATTGAGAAAACAATAAATTCCAGTGTTAATTCTACATAAATGCTAATGTTCGTACTACATTATTTTTTGAGATCCGAATTTCTGAGGTATACCTTCGTTCGCTACGAACCTATGTTCTGATTCGCTACTGGTCGAGTGAAGTAACGTGTCCAAAAAATATTGGGCAGTAGAAAATACAACAATCGTAAGTCATAAAAATGACTGGTGACAGAAACAGTTCCCTTTATAATATCTTCATACCAGTCACAAACCTCAATAGAACCCCCCTTTCTATAGTAAAACAGTATTCGGAAACAGAGGTCTAATTCGAAATTTCTTATTCTAGCCCTACGAAATATTAAATCAGGAAGTAAGTGTTTATTTTGACCGAAGACGTAACTTCAAACATGATTTCGATAATCCTCACCTCAATGTGCGAGTAACAAACAAAAGCGAGAGTGATTAATGACGTCGATATTCCCATGAAAACCCCAGAATCAAGGTAAGTGTCGAGAATTCTGTCAATATTAATACAGTTATACTGATCACTTATCTTCTTCGGGGTACGAAATTCAATGTAAGATTCCGTACTTTTCATTCTTCGAACACATTCGATTCTTTTTATACGTTATACTTTTTATTGCATTCCTAATTATTTTCCCACCCTTATTTTATTTATTTCATCATCCACTCACTGTGTAAACGTGGAATGTAACGGCATGAACCGATACATATTCATGTCAAGTCGCACACGACGTCGATGACTGACTGACACAAAATAAGTTTGTAATTAACAAAATAAGCAACAAAACAGAATACAATTTTGTACAACTTTAGCCAGGGATGGATGTGAATTATCAAAAGGGGGAAATACACATAAATTGCTGGACAACGTTTTTTACTAACTAAAATCAACCAGTTGATGAGTAAAAGAACGGAAGCATTTAAGATGAAAACAAAAAAATTAATTACCAATAAGAGAGCTATACACAATGAGCAAAAAACGACAACCGAAGTCAACTCAACACGCCCACAACCACAATAGCACCAAATTTATTCTCACTGAAAATACAAAAGACGATTGAACGTATACTTTACCAATAAATATCTATTAGGAACGAAAACATTTCTAGTTATATAAATCGATAAATGAAATGGTGACGTACATAAAAATAAGAAATAAATATAACTCACACTTGTTGAATTTTGATCAACTTCTAAATTATTTTCAGAATTGATTTCTGAACTTCTAGAGTTATCTATTTCTGAATCTTCAACCAATGGCTGACTTGATAATCGACTTACAGAAGAGACTCTGCCATCTAGCGTTGAAGTTACAGAAGGAATAGACGGAACAGTTTTAGAAAGAACTGCGATCCCTGAATCTAGTTCGCTTGTTGCAGTCTGACCACTTGTGATACGCTTTAACTGACCAGGGAAAGACACACGAGCTGAATTTACATTACGTATTTGCGAACTGCGAACGCTTGAAAATAAATGAAAAATAATTACATAATTAATGTCAGCAGCTTTATACTGGTGGAGATTATCCAATCGATGACATAATCACCTGGAGGTTTACTTTACCACGACAACTAACTTAACAAGATGAGATTAGACAAAACTCAGCAAGCATTTGAAGATATGGCACCGAAAAAAAAACAATTGGTTGAAATATCGTATTAATGAACACGTAACTTCAATTATCATATTTTAAAACTGTACAGTGATAAGATTGTATAAACACCGAATAAACACTTTCGGTGATAATTGGAAAAGCACATAGTTAGTTGATATCATCCGCCTCAATTTGATTTATTTTGGAGAGCATAGTGATCAAGTTGAGACACAACAACGAATCATATGCAGACCAGCAAGTCTCATAGCATTGACAAGTGACCGAATAATACAAGTATATCAGACGGAAATCTCTCCATATGGTATGAATAAAAACACTTTCGATTCCAATTTAACTGTACGTAAAAAAATTCTAGCCGATAATATTTGTTCAGCTTATACCTTTCTTTGAAATATTTTATTCCTGGAGTTAGTTAAATTTTGCTTTCTTATATTAGTGTAACAACCGGTAGAAGAGCACTGCTATATCACATTTCAATCAGTCATTTATATTGTAGACAAAAATAAATTTTACGAAAACTGTGTTAAAGGTTAGTCTGTAGCAAAGAAGGTCTCCGAAGGTTAATTAAAACTTATGAACGAAATTTAAAAGAAAATTATAATTATTCCAGAAAATAGATCTTTGAAAAAGAGAAAATAACATAGACGAATTTAAAATAACTGTGATGAGTTTCCAGTCAGTTCTCAACCATTCAGAAAATTGTTTTGTAAATGGATAGTTTGTGGAGAAGAAAACAATAATATAACTAAGCGCAAACAAATTTGATATAATTTTTGAATTTATTAACATCTACCACAGGTACGTTACTCTTTCTGTAAATCGAAAGAAAACTAATACATAAAAGCTCGTTCATACGAATGTAGATTATACTTATTCTCGAACACTTATAGAGATCCAAACAGATTGTTAAGAGTCTACACATCGTCCCTGGTTAGGATTAAGTATTTAGGGTTAGGTTTTTCGACACAAACTGACATCAGGCATAACACGAAAGTGTTCTATAGTTATATGGGTGAATGAATTTCATGCAAAAATATAAGAGAAGGTACTGTCTGACTAGTTTGTCCATGAAATGTAGTGTCACCAGTTCAAGACTTATTTCTGTATTGGATGTTTAAGGTTAGAATTTAGAGACAGTGTCGATTTGTGTGTTGCATACAATTTACAGAGAAAGAACTGAATTTTTAATTCACTCAACGCCATCATTTTTACCCTGTGGTGACAAAACCTATTTTTGGCTATCACTAGAAATGTATTTCCACTGCTCGCGGAATTCACGATCCTGATTAGCTTATTTTTTTACTATACTTTTACCGACTTTTATTCGCAACAAACAGATATAACTTTTCCTGTAGTGGCGATGGCAAGCAGTAAGAATAAATGTTCAAATACTGAACAGGAGTCAACATGTATATGCAATATGATTAAAATCAAGAATATTACTAACTCATTTAAAATAACTCCCTTGAAATTCATGAAAACAAAGGTTATGAACAAAATGTAATAACGTCAATATAGAATTTGATTTTATACAATTTAACACTGCATATAATTGATATAGTGTGAAAGTAGATTATGTGCTTTATTGAAATTTTGATATAAGGTTGACTCAATTGTTCTAAAAACAACAAATGCTAAACATAAGCAATAATAGTGATGTATCCCTTAGCAAAATAATATACGTTCAATAAGTGTTTCAAATGAATTTATATTATCGTTACAATTTAGTAACTAAGCCAAAGGAGTAAATAATTTACAACAACATTTGCAACAAAAATGTTAAAAGTTCTAGATCCTTAATCTGATGTACGCAAATCCCCATATAAAGTGATTATCATACTGAATTAAAATAATATATCTGAGCGAAAATTGTTTATACTCTCACCAATAATAATAGCTACCGAACAGTATATCAGAAATCACCACAAATAAAAGGCTGAAGTAACTTAAAATATATCAACAAAAACTAGTAAACAAAGAAAAGACTATATTTAACACTGGCCCCCAAATGCCCTGGTACGGCCGAGAGTGGGGAGAGTCCGCTCTCCCTCTCCAAATGCTCTCACATGGTCACGCGTATATAGCCTCTGCCAGGGAAGTCCTACTCACTGCCTTCTCGTGGCGGGGGTGTTGTTTAAGAAAATGAGAGGACGAAAAGCGAATGTCCGGCGCTTTAACCGAATTCCAAACCAATGGTGTACATGGGCTCCAGTATCCTGCGGGAGTAAATGGCGTATGAACCAATTGTTGGTCACCGGCTTCCATGGGACTGCATCTCCTCACGATGCTCCACTGCCATGTGGGTTAGACCTTTAGGTCAAAGGCTCGGGGAGTGGCCCCCTAAGAAAACCACCTGCTTCGGTTTGGGTACCCGGGTAGTACCACAGCCCTCACACATGTCGAATGAGATTTGTGTGGCGCATATGTATTTGGTGCCTCCTTGTACCAATATCTATGTGTTAAAATAAAAATAATAACAATAATGAACTCCATTCAGAAAGTCACTATTAAGGGGTGGAAAACTGTGCAGATGACATAATTGCGAAATATGTTACTTAATAATGAATAAGTAATTAACTAGGGACTAAAGTTTCAACAACAGTTCAATGTGAACATCTAGCTTTCGAGCTACAAAAATCCAATTACTAAGTTCACAATAACATTACTACTTCAGCTGAACGTTTGTTGAAAACTTGTGAATGTGGAACTCAATCAATCACCTCATTATCAAAGCAATTTTGCAACAGTAAAGAGCAGGAACTTAAAAAAAACGATTAGAAGTACACGTTTATGTCACTTGATCACATGAATATACCAACTGATGGTGTATGCAATCAATCGGATATTTAAAGCTTAAAAGTACGCCCTTACATGGAGATGTACTTTATGCTATGAAGAAAAATCCTTTTTAAAGCAAAAATGTATCACCTTTACAGATTATAAAAATAAAAACATAAATAAATATAAGTATATTATGAACACAATTTTGTAGAACTTTACCACCAGTATTCTTTCCTATAACAATGTTCAACTAACCTCCACTCAATTGCTTGAGGTAAAGAAAGAAAACTTTGAGGACGACCACGTAAGAAAGCTGTCATGCCACGTAATGAGCTCAAAGCAGATCCTAAAAACATTTTAAGAAATTGATTCTCATGATCAAAACCAATATATGTACTAAGGATACATGTGACTCGTGTGCATTAGTTGTAAAACTGATGTTAAATACATTTAAGTGAATGCTATGTTTACTGTTACGTAGTATATAACCAGAAAGAAATCAGATCAACCGACAGTTTCGAAATTCTTAAGATTGATAACAATACAGCAAATAATTGAAGCACAGCAACAGAGAACTAAAGAGAACTACTTGCGCTAAATAAATGGTGGTACAAGTACCATTTATCTATCCCTTGCACCAGAATTTGAATGTACGCACACTTGCTAGTACTCCATAATAATTATGGTTTTTGACCTGAAGACGATATTTCGACTACCTCTCTCCCCAATTATCCTTTTACAACTTGTTTCGCTTGTTAAACCTAATTATGTAAATAACACTAAGGCGAATAATAATATCATCGAGTTTAGATATGCTAGAATTGTTGATGAGATCAAGTCATTTTTAAACAACAAATTAGACTTTGTTGTTAGCTACATATCTCTGTCATGTAGTAAAAGCACACATAATTTAGTAATTTTAAAGGTTTATAAATGGACACGAGCTTTAAAAACTATTGTTTATTAGCAAAATATAGTTATCTTAAGCTTAACTAACTTCCTGATTAGTTCAGTTGGATTTACCCAGCATTAGACATCCTGATCCTGCCTCGGAGTCAAGGCATGGATGTCAACATGGCATTGAGTTCTTAAGAGTTGACTCCTAACTTATAAAACCTATATAACACAGTCCTTGTAGGCGAGAAGAGTAAATCCCCTGTTGTTTGAAAATGTGTGTTACATTTGTAATTAAACAGTCCCACATGTTTAGTCAATCAGACTCAAAGTAAAAGTAAAGAAATAATTGTACAATAACCGTACATTAATGGAAATTTTCTATTACCTTCAACCACATCAATAACAACAAGACCAGCCAAAGAAGGGATAGTTCGCTTGCATGCCACATGTACTGCTACAGCTCCACCCATACTAAAATAAGAAAAAACAATCTGATTTTTTCAGCTTAGTAACTAATACCACCGAAGATCTGAAAAATATATACCGACCGTGAGCTATGTACATCAGAAGCTATTTACTTTTGTAGAAATATTGATGTCTGCTTCGACTACCATGCAGTAAACAATAAAACTTGGTCAAATAGGTAACAAAACTCAAAATTAAAAAACGGAGTTTGAATACATAGACCATTTTATAACTGTTTGGGAAACGATCTATGTAAGACAGATCCACCAGAAAATTTCCAGTGTTTGATGACCAGAAGATGTGGCTTAATGATTCAGACGTTCGAATTTTGGCCACTAAGTCTCTGGTCCGAACACAGCTCCACTTACTACTGTTTGTGTAACTTTGTAGTATCCTTAGCCCCTACCTGATGAATGAGTTAATTATTTAGTCAAAAACAAGAGCGATTTGTGAATATCTAAAGACTGATAGGGTGAAACTAGGAGCAATCCTAACCCTTACACGCTGAGGTGATATATATTACAAGGACTTATAATACTTTACCAGTATTTTTACAACTATATGTACTGAGCAAATCATAAAAAAACAAATTAAAAGTGATTAACGCTGAAAATGTTTGCAACAAAGCACCAACGTGCTTTTAGGCAATAAAGTTCAATGTAACATACAAATCTGTTGTACTGTAAACAAAGAACCGATTCAGAAGACGGAATTCTGAGTTACAACTACACGTCACGGAGACTATATTATAAGTTACTGAGCATTGCTTCCGTAAAGAAATGTAGAATTACTTTAATGTGAGTAACTGAATGAGAAAGATTAACCCGAGTGTGATCCTACAGGTTTCTAAAGACAAAACACTGGGGCATGAAAAAATATATCGCATCCCTTCACATTACGTTAATGAGATGTACAATATACACTATATTTCTAAACCTCAACAAACTTGAAAGCCAGAAAACCTGACGAGTCCCATATACTGAAGGGTATACTGAACTAACGTATTACGCTACTTGAAGTCTCTACTTACACCTAAACAGTTGGTCATGTAATTTTTGTTGCAGACTTAAGTAAAAAAACACTCACACGACATGTCGATGGAGTGGGATACTCCCCTTCAGACTGCAAAAGACTATAACATCTATAAATTAAGAAATTCTCCATTATTAATCAAATGAAAGTTAAGCTAAGTTTCAGCAGTCTATTCCACTTAGATACAAGATGAACCTATACTACTTTAGCTAATATTGTTCGCAACTTCCTTGGTTCTATAAACACACGAGGACAGTTGCATTGTTTTATATTGTTATTTACGTCACAGAAACTGGAGTGACCACTCAAAATACAGCCTAAAGATAAAATACGAGGAGCAAGTAGGATTAAGACGATGAACCAAAGTGTAAAAAGCCTGAAAAACTCCCAACTACATGAGGTTACACAGATGACGTGAACGGAATGCACTAAAATACAAATAAATTATTCCCAAATATTAAAATACTATCCAACACCAGGACCATAAGCTACCGTTTTGAACAAAAAAAGTACCCTCTACATCGCTAAACAAAATACCAAAAATCTACGCCGTCACATTCCTTACTGGCAACCACAATATTTTAAGTTAATAGCCCACAAACATTTTATCAAGCTTATTAGTTGAAGATGTTAAAACCCTATAAGTACAACTAATTTTCCACCTTATACTGGTTGAATGATTTCTAGAATGGCATGATTATAGCAGCTCAGAGATATTAAAAAACCATACGGAAGACGGGTTTGGCATGAAAAGAACCGAAAGCAACACAAATCTTTTCCCGTAATTTTACACAAAAATTATTCAATAGCTAAACTAACAGGCATATGTGATACAGACCACGATTAAAACGCCTTTATTGTTGGAAGTGGTGTAGACCAGTTATTATGGGAAATTTTTTAATTGATTTCGATTTAAATGGCCTGCTAAATAAACAGTAAAACTGGAAGCAGGTAGTATAAAGAATTTTATGGCTGACACATCGCACAAATGGCCATAATTAAAGAAAATCGCACTTCTAGACAAAAGCTACTAAGTATTATGTGAATAAACATGCATTAGTCTTTTATCTAAGGATAGCTTAAAAATATTAATTAGGTGGAAGAGAACAAAACAATACGGTTCATCCTTAAATAACAAAGTTTACATAGAATCAGTAGTGATTGATTAGCACTGTATTCATAAACATTGTAAATTATGTCTAAGGAAATTTACCGGAATACCTTGAGAATGTGTTAAATATGGTGCACAGCACATATATACTACCATACCCCATAAATAAACTGGATTACTAGCGATAACAATACATAACGTTGGCAACAAATCTTTAGCCTCTAAAAATAGTGCACACAACTCATAAGTGACTAAGGGCACATGGTTATAATCTTCAGTTATATAAAAAATGTGTTAACAAACAACTACAACAGGTAAGGCTAATATACAGTGACAAAAACTAATTCGAAAAATCAAAGAAATTTGCAAATCTCAAACACCAACACGTTTTTGAGTAGCTCACCTGTGGCCCACAAGGATGATTGGCGGAGCCTCCATTGGATACATAGCAAATATTATTTTTATTATATCCCTTAAATAAAATATAATTATAGAAACGAGCGTACTTTGAGAGAGTGTCGATAGATAGGTCATCATCATTGAGGCACTTTGTATCACCGTGGCCCCTCATATCCACTGCCAAACATTGACACTTAACTTGATCAGTAATAAGAGTCTAAGCAAGTAACGTAGTAGCAAGAATACATACACTTAGGACCGCCCATGTTAAAGCTGAGAAACCACCACCATGTAAGAAGAAGAGGAGAGGCCCTTCGACACCTCGACGATAGATTCTAAATGTCTAGAAGGACGAAAATTATAATGCATATCCTTACACCCCCTTCGAGTTCTATATCATCCCGTATGTTAAAATATTCACTCCACCTCACAGGATCATAGCTTCCGCCATTTCGTTCACTACAATAGAAAAATAGTGGTTACATTTGCACTTATGTTATTTATAAAGAATAATGTCAAGCAGGAATCACCTATTACATCGCTCTTTACATTTCCCATCAGAAAGGAGGACAGTAGGACCAGCTGACATTTTGTATCTCCCACAACTCTATCATACACCACAAAGCATCTCCAAACCTGTTCGCCCTCGTTTCAGATGCTTTTTCAAAAGTGTCACCAAAAATGACGCTTTTTATTGTTCTAATTTGTTTTGTTTAAATCGTTTAGCCAACACTTAAAATCAGTTGTCGTACTTGTTATCGCGCAAAGAGTTTTTACAATGTATGTTACAATTCGTAGTGTGTAGATTGCTTGCTCAAACTCTCCAATGATTAATCATATTTTTAATGTTTTCTATCTTGTGTATATTAACTTAAAAATACTTGACATTCACGTACAACTAATTAGATCTGATGGTTCGTTAACGAGCTTTAATAGCATTTACATGCTTCAGCGACATAGACTTGTTTAAACATCAAACTCTAGCAAACATAAGCTGTAAATAACGTAAATATACATTGCTAACGATGCAACCAAGGACTAATGGTCACATGTATTATCGTAATGTTATATTGATTAGTTTTCATAACATACTAGCTCAATTGATAGTAAAAACTGGTCGTCTATATTAACTAACTAACATTACCGACGTACACCTTTTTTCAATTTATTCGGGATGAAACTGCATCATACTGCTTAATTTTAGTAAGGATTGTATTAAACGTAGGGCTTACAGCACCAATTTTTCGTAACAAGGATAGCCTTTGATGGAAAAAAGATTTTTATGTGAATGTAGCTGAATCTGAATCTGAATGTAACTTTTCAAACGGCTCAAGTTGTTCTGGACAGAATAGAAGAACCCTTCGTTTAACGGCCTTTAGTATCTAGTAGCCTGAGAATGAGAATCTAATCTCATCGAATATTATTGTGAGCAAGTTGCTGGAGTCAAACGACTCTGACCCCAAAATTAGACACGCGCATAACTTAGAGAAGCTGGGAGAACATATATTCGTTGTATCTTAATATATAACTCTAAAGGAGTTCAGGTCAAAAAGCTGGTCAGAATAGGTAAGAGAACCGAGGACACCGTTGAACCCCGACCATGCAGACTCCTTAAGATAATCCTAGGATCCGAGAAGCAATGTGATCTCCTGTTAAGTGGCGCTCGTATTCATGACAATTCCGACATCCGAGTTATATCTGATATGTCTCTTGAAGATGTAATAAAAAGGAAGAAAGCACTAGCTAAACTAGAAACCCGTCGACAAAACGGTGAGGAGAATTTCAGGTTGGTGGGTTTTCGGATAGTCAGGTCTTTGAAGCGAACGCTACCAAGGCGTGTGTGGATAGGACGTTCTACCTAGGAGTTTTATATGCTAACGCTCGTAGTCTAAGAAATTAGCTCTATGAACTAGAAGCATTAATGGACAAATTAAGGCCACTCATTGAGCAGTGACAGAAACTTGGTTAGTCCATGACTTAGACATTACTACAGAATTATCCGGATACCAATACCTAAGGAGTGACAGACACCGATGTAGAAAAGGAGGTGGTGCCTTTTGTATATAGCCAATAATATAAATATCAAATTCTCTGCTAGGGAATCCCATGATAGCGGTAATTGTGAAGTCATTAGCTGTGAATTGGCTATCGGATGTGGTACATTTATGCTCGGTGTCATCTGCCGCAGTCCAATCTGCTTAGCTGATGACTTTATTTTAGAGCACATTCAACTATGAAGCGCAAATAACAGATGCTTGATAATAAGAAACTTTAATGCACCTGATATTAGTTGGACTGAGGTGACCACAGAAAAAACTATAAAATCCTTTGATAGCAGTTTCCTGATAACAATAATGGAGCATGCATTAGTGCATCATGTATCCAAACCCACACGTTTCGGTGCTAACCAAGGTTCTACTCTGTTGGACTTGGTAGTCAGTCATGAGACTGAGGATACTGACGACCTAAATATTCTTCCACCGTTAGTGAACAGAGATCACGCTGTTTTGTCATTCATGTTTAGAACTAGGGACATGATATACGGTCAGGTTACACCCCACCCAAATGTGTGGAAAGCTAACATATCAGTCATTCACAAATGCTCCGCCAAGACAGATTGGTTTGTAGACACTAGCTTATCAGTTTAAGAAGCATTGTCTGTATTTAAAGGTGAGTTTAGTTTAGTTACGTCCTCGTTCATACCATACCTGGTACCGCGAAGATCGAATAACAGTCTACCATAGATTACCAAACCAGTCAGGAAACTTCTTAGAAGAAGGAAGAAGCACTGGAATACGTCCATCCCTACTGGCTTAGAACAATACAGGTCCAGATATTGTAAGATTAGGAATGCCTGTAAAGCGTTAATAAGTAAGACTAGAAGATCATATGTAAAACAATTGGTTAGGGATTCTAGAAATAGTCCGAAACGGTTATTCTCGTATTTAAAATGGCGAATTCAGAAAAACGATGGAATTCCATCACTTCCGATATAAGATTGTCCGTTAATCTTGGTAAGAAATGATACCAAAAAAAGTTGAAGTTTTATCGGAATATTTCAGTGAAGTGTTTTATATCAGTAATGAGGAACGACCAACGATTCATTGTGATTGTGGCGGCTCACTGATGGACCCTGTAGTTATTGTGAAAGGTACTGCCTTAAGACTACTTCAGCATCTCAAACCTGATAAGTCCTGATAATATTCATCCTAGGATTATGAAAGCCATATCAGATGTAATTGCTGAACCATTAGCGATACTATTTGACATGTCCCTGAGGCAGTCCAGACTGCCCAGAGACTGGAAAGATGCGATAATACGTCCAGTGTATAGGGCTGAGAGTAGGGATTTAGTTAGTAACTATAGACCCGTTAGCTTAACTAGTGCGTTTGTAAAACCAATTGAAAAACTCATTCGGATATCTGTTATAAACTATGTTGAAGGGCATGGTTTTCGGGGAGGCTTGTCATGCTTGAAAAATCTCATTGCAATAAAAGATTGGGCTGCGGCAAAAGATCGGAATATTCCTGTAGATGTGATCTTCATAAATCTAAGTAAGGCCTCCGATAAAGTCTTCCATTCTGCTCTTAAATTCAAACTGGAACGTTTTGAAATCCATTACACAGTCGTAGATTGAATCAGTAACTTTATCCATGAGAGGAGACAAAGGGTAAGGGTTAATGAAGCTCTTTCCTTGTGGATACCTTTAAAAAGTGGAGTTCTCCGATACAATACTCGGTCCTCTTCTCTTTCTACTTTATGTAAATGAGTTAACAACTGTAGCAAAATCATCCGTTCCACTCTTCGCTGATGACATAAAAATTTGGCGATCCATACACCGTGTGTCGGATAGAATAGTATTACAGGATGATCTTAGCTGATTGGTGGCATGGTTGGACAGGTGGTTACCAGAGGTAAACCCTAATAAGAGTGTGGTGATGCAATTAAATAACTATGGTGATTCGTATCACTACACAATATGTGTATTCTTGCTACCCAAAGTAAGAAACTATAAAGATTTAGGAGGCATATTAAGCAGTGATCTTAAAACCACTAGTCACTGTAAGGCTGCTGCTGCGAAAGACTATAGGGTGTTATGGTCTATTCGTAGGTCTTCCCAGTATTTAGATAATGAAATGTTTGAATTATTATGCCCGATTTACGTGCGATCACATTTAGAATATGGGATTCAAGCAGCGAGTCCTTGTTTCAAGTATGAAGCAGATATGCTGGAAAGAGTCCAACGACGAGGTAGTAAGGTGGTAAAAGGTCTATCTGGCCTATCTTATGAAGACAGACTGAGACACTTTAACTTATTTCCGTTATCCTACCGTAGAATACCGAGTGATCTAATATTGGCTTATCGTATACTGAACGATGACCTTGGTATTAACAGGTATTATCTTTTACTTCTCTCTAGGACTGATCGTGTGAGAGGACATTCGAAGAAAGTTCAAAAACCGAAATCAAATCCTTTACATCTGGAGTTTCGTTTCTCGCGCCGAGTAGTAAATTACTGGAATTTTCTACCGGAACACGTAATATCAGTACCTTTTGTTGATATATTCAGAACGAGATTGTACCTTTACAGTATTACAAACTGAAAGGATTAATATAGGTCGATAGACCACCTATCCTTATTACTGAAGACTGAAGACAGAAGACTGAGTGTTACTCCTGGGGTTTGTGTACAGACTGAACTTGACTGGGTATTTAAAACGGTCCACAGGAGCAGTTAGGATACTATAAGTCATTATAAGGTCACTTCTGAGACACCCATACTACTCCCTATATGTTTTAAATTTGAGTCCCCAAGCTGATTTCATGACTCACCTTTAGATATATTCCAATATATTCTTACCCTTTTGGAGTGAGGGGAGAAACACTATGTTTCTATACTCTAGGAGGTAATGAGTGAAACTTCTAAATTGAATAAGATATTCCGTCGCTAAACTGGCTAAAAGTGCTCTTCGAAAATGCTAGTGGAAGGTTTTCTCAAAAAGCATTTTTGTCGCAGCTAGCGTAAGACCTTAGATCATAAGCTACCAAGACTCATAGATCTTTCGCAACCAGAGATATCTCTAAAGCGGAGTGACCTGGACCGTATGCGTGGCCTGCAGCATTTTCTAAATGGACTGCTTAACGCTATGAAATGTCGAAACAAGTCCGGTAAAACACACTCCCTCCGAGTAGAAATGAAGTCCCAACCCCCGTTCCACCAGACCAGTCCACGAGCCAGTGAATTATAGAAGCATGTCCTAAACACATCAAAGAGGACTCCACTCATAAACTTACGTTTTTTATGAGTATACGTTTTCACTTACTCGCGTAGAGTGGAAACTCTGGAAGAATTTGTAGTCCACTGACGCTATGGAATGCCCAACCAACCCTAAAACGCACGCAGGGCCCTAACTTGGAGTTCATTGTTGCAGTGGCTGGTATTATGTCAAGCCCAAATAGGCTATTATAACTCCTGGACGGACTAATTTCTTCCCGAGCCATATTTGGACTTTTTCACTTATTCGCTTAAAGTCGTATGTGTGTTAATTACTTACCCAAATCATCATGTGTCTGTAGCTTACTTTTAGT